CCCATTTTCATCATTTAAATATAATAACTATTATGTGCAGAATAGAATCTATATTCAGTAAATTTTCCCTGATTTCGTAGGGCTAGCTGAATTTTTTTATGTATCTTTCCAAAATAATTTCACAGTGTGAAATGAATAAATATTGGAGGAACCAATTTTTCCCTTCAGCACTACCTCAGATCATTTAGCAAAAATATCCTTTCATCTCCACAGGAGCTGGGACAGGGAGGCAGAGGGGGGCACCTCGACTTCTATGGTCAGCGTGGCGGTCACTGCTGCCCTGACTTCCCAAGGTGACCACTTATGACGATGACTGAGCTCTACGCAGGGCTGGATGTTCCCATATTTGTTGCAGCTTTTGTCTGCAGTTCAGGAGCCGCAGCCATTTGTACTTTTTCAGAGTGAAGGGATCTGGGATTTACTGATGGGAAAGGACTTGTTCTGGGCTGGAGAGCAAATGCTACCGTTGCCTACGTTGCCCCTGTCCCCATCTGTCTATTTTTACTCACTAAGTCTACGCCTGTCCCCTGCTGCAGGATGCAATCAGTGCCATGGCTGGAATTTGGCCAGGAGACCGTGGCTAACACTCCCACCCCATTTTTTATGCAAACTTGATTTATGACTTTGATCTTATTTTAAATAATTTAAAAATTAAATAATTTATACAGTATCTGTCACTTTCCAAGGCTCCTTCCTTTGTTCTTGCTTTGCTCTCTTGCATTTTCCCATCTCCCCAACCCTTTTTGGTCTGTGCACGTTTCCCTTTCTGCATGGTGGGGCAGCAGTGACATGAGACAGCCACTAACTATTTGCCACTTTCTTCATAGAAAGAAGACATGCAGGAGCTTATACCACTGTTGCTTATATGGGCTGGGACTATACTACCACCATTCATGGTCTGGTTTGACTTTTACTGCTCATGATTTGGACTTGGCCACTCCATCTCTTACCAGGGAGTAAGAAGGCGTGCTGTGCTGCTCTGAGCTGGTTCGTTCTTGACTGGCAGCAAATCAAAGATGGTGCCACCTAGCATCAGTCTCCTTCTCTCCAGGCTGTACCTCAAGCTGGCCTTAACTCAGACAGCAGAAATAACTATCAATACCCAGCTGATGTAGATCCACAGTAATCTGACAACACAAAGGGCTGGTGCCCTACACATGAGTCAACTAAACTAAAAAATTGTCCCATGAAAGAGGGAGTTAAATGAGTATGGAAAGATATTGCAGAAAAAAACCAACTAAACAAACCAAAAAAAACCCCTGAAACAAATTAGTATAGGGGCACTGGGAGCTTTAGGGAGCCATGAAGCCTGACTTGCCTTGAGCTGCATACAAAAGAGGTGAGGTGTGTCCAATGTGACTTCCTATGTCACTGAAACAGCACACAGAGCCAGTGCCAAGCTTTGGCTGGTCTGCTTGATGGTGGCACATGAGGAGGGGAGGCAAAAACCACACACAGAGGAGAACCTTCTTTGCTTCCTGATTTTTTTTTTTTACTTCAGTATCTGAGGCCATGTGGCTGCTGAACCCAAGGACTAGTTGCTTAGCCCAGAGAGGCTGTCGCTGCTACCAAGGTTAAAGTGGCTTAAGCTGAGGTCGAGTGGCTTGGCAGCAGTGGCAACAGGGAGTGAACTGTGACATGGCCATTTGCTGAGCTGCAAACAGGGTAACTTAAAAAGGAGCCAGGGCCCAAAGCGGTCCTGGTGGCAACACTAACAACTACCACTCAAACACTGATGGGCTGAGACCCTCGTCGCCTCTCCTCTGAGGTGGTGTTGGATTTGCAAATCCACGGCTGCCCACTAATCTCTCACACAGCTGAATTGTGTGGGTTTCTCCTGCACTGACCACCTTGATGCATGGAGACCTTTCTGCAGGAGGTAATCCAGTCCCAGTGATGTGCATGCTGCCTCTTTGGGGGAAATTCAGCAAGAAACTGCTACCTAGGGGACTTGGCAACCTCCTCCATAGGGACAGACCATTAGAAACTACTGATTAACCAGCTCTCATGGGATTACTTGGGAGCTCTTATATGGAGACATCAGTCAAGACTGCAGTGGGATAGCTGGGAGAAAAGGTTATGAGTACAAATCAGAGAGCTTACTGTCTCATGCTAGTCCTGGCCTTACTACTAAGCACTGAGACAGTTCTTAAAATTGTGTTACCATCATACCCCTGCGTGAAAACTCATGGAGAGAAAGCACCAGAGAGAGACGTGTCCCTGAGGGAGAAGGGAAAACAAGTAAGTCTGATCATCAGCTTTACTTGTACATGGGCAAATGAGACCAGGGGATCAAACACTTCAACCAAAGTCACAGGAGCTGCTGGTGGCATTGGCATCAGCTGTCACTGCTGTTCTGCTCCAGCGTTTTCACTGATTCACCTTCCCTCCTCTTGACTTGCCTTTAGCTCTTCAGCTTCAGTTCGGGCTGAATAAAACTGCTCCCCCTTTCCCTCATCCCCTATCGATCTCTCCATCTCCCACTGGCATTTGCGAGGTGCCAATCACCCTGATATCTAAGAGCCAGCACTCCAAGGTGGATTAATCGGGACCGAGGGAACGTCACAGAGCCTCGGCGCTCCCTTCCTTCCCTTTTGTGTGAGACTGTGAGATTAAGCAGATAGGAAAAGACACAGATAGGGAGGCTGATTGAGAGACAGCATCTGAGCACGCTCTGGGTCTACAGGCACCACATGGAAATGTGATCCCATCGTTTAGACAGCTCTGAAGTCCCCAGGGTAATTGGTGTCACCAGCTTGTCATATCCAATGGGTCAAGATCTAAAACTTATTCTTTCCCCCTTATTAGCATATTTACCATAGGAAAAAACAATAGAAAAAAAAAAGAGGATGGGTCCAATTCTGCTTTCACAGAAATCAATAGGAAAAATATTCATTAGTTTCAAGTGGGGTGGGAGCAGACCCAGGAATTGTTCTCACTTCTTCAGAGATAGATCCTCACTCACACCCTTACCCTCACACTGTCCTGTGTTATCTAGTGAGAAATAGACGGAGGGAACTTTCCTGATGTAAAGGTGCAGACCTCATCCTCTTTTGTATCAGTATAAACCTGAGATAACTTTATTATCATGGCAATTAGAATTAGTCTAGATTAAAAATGATGCAAGGAGAGTTTTCAGTCCAGGGAGTCAGGATAGTGGTGTCTTTACCACCTCTCCAGCTGCCTGATCAATGCCTATAGCATAACTCTGGAACTGCATCTCCTGCCTGACAACCTCTGCAGATGTTTGCCCCCAGCTGCCCATGGGTTGCCTCCTGTTAATTCCTCTGGTACATGGGTCACAGATGCTGCATCCCCCTGCCAGGCTGCTGGCCACTGGCCTCGGCTCAGCTGTGATTTACTGTCTCTTTTCCCCCCCCTGCAACCTTCCCCAGCCAGGAGGACAGTTAAATACAGCCAGGCTGGGGAAGGGACAGCTCTTCTGTTGTGTGAGAAGAGGACTAGTGGACAAAGGATGTGGCAAAGATTATCTTTGATTGGGAAGAAAAATGAATAGGGAAAAATTGAAGGAAGAATGGAATTTTTCTAGTGGGAAGGGAATAACAACAGTTCAGAATAGCAACAGGGGGTACATACTGACTTTGTATGGCCCATTCAAAGGGCAGGCTGGGTTGTACCAAGTGTCCAGTGAGGCACATGACACTCAATGGAGGACAGAAATTTCTATGCTCTCACGTTAGAAAAAAATAATCATGTGGATATGATGGGAAGCCCATTGTGCCAACATACAAGAGGGAAATTGGCAGGGAAAAAAAGCAGAGCCTTGTGGTTGGTGTGCTGGAGGGAGTACGGGTACGCTGGAATGTGATTCCTGAGATGGCCCTGTACCACCTAATGCAAGTCATTTGGTTTCTCTTATTCAGAAGATGTTACTCTGGAAAATGGAATGAACAGTACTTGCCTCCTGCACACAAATCCAGCACAGAGTACAAGAGGGCCACATTTTACCACCACATGGGTGAAATTCCTAGATGCACCGTCACCGCCTGCAAATGTTCCTGTTTATTTTGCTCCAGAGAAGGCAGCCAAAGTCACCTGGCAATACTGTGTCTGCCTGCTGCAGGGATCGCCTCTACCTTCCTCTGAACTATCTGGCAGAGACCGAGTTACCTGAACTTGATCTTGTCTTGCAGGTCCTTGTTAATTGTAGCCTAAGGAAAGCCTACTTATGCCAGAGGCATCCATTTCAGGGCTTTGTCAGGAGCCCAGCTCCCTGCACAGACACTTTTCCACAGGGACCCAGGGTCCAAGTCAGATATGTAAGTAGGATAACAGAAGTTAGGCAGTGCAACACTGCTTTAAATACCAGATGTGTTTTCCCAGTGTACTTAAGTCATACTCTTTTGAGGAATCATGATAGTGTGTCTGCATATGTCTGTTTGTCTGTTTTAGTATTATTGAGCATACTTTCATGAACCTGAAAGAATTTCTGTCAAAAGCTGCCATTTTACACAGTGACCACTCCAAAGACACCCCCAACGACCCATGGAACAGCAGGGGTCTGGCCAAATGGAGCAGAGGACCATCTCCCCACTTCATCCCAGTCTGTGTGGCCTCTAGCAGAGGAGGGCCAGAAAGGTATTTGTGCCCTCAAAAACCTTTTATAGCACCAGATGGTGCTGACATGGAACAGAGAACTAACATGAGCTGAATTCAAGGCCTATTTTATCCTAAACTCTAATGCTAGCTGTGTTTGGATTTGACAGCAATAGCTTAGACCCTATAGGAAATGTCTTGCATGGATACACACATGACCATAGCTTGGTTACTGCTAGAAGCAGGTATTGCACCTCTGAAGGAGATGTCCTCTCCTACCCCAGATAGCATGGCTCAGTTTGCTCCCATCATTTAACTGGTTTAATGGAGAAATCACTGGTTCCTCTTCTGCTCAGTTTTTCTTCTGCTCATGTGTGCTTTGTGCCATTCTAGGTGTTACCCCTGTTCCCGTGAACATGCGTAGAGCCAGTGTCTATACTTACTGCCTGTGCATAGGCGCCATACGCTCCAAACTGGATGGCCATGGGGTTGAACATGCCCATTTGTCCTGCCATTTGCTGCATGCGCCTCATTGTACGCTCTTTATCTGTATCCGCAAACTTCACCACCAGGCTTGAAGAGGCTCCCTGCAGGACAGGAGACGAAAGGAGACACAGAAGTGACTTAACCAGATACACATTGGCTCATGCAATCCACCCAACAAGCACAGATCTGGTAGTGTGGGATTCAAGTGATGTTGATTTTTCCCAATCAACCTCTCAGGCCTTTTGAGTTGGACCTTTGCAAGAGACTGAGAGCACCAGGAAGGAAGCAAAAGACCTGGAGGGTGAAAAACTGAGGCCAGCAGCTCAGTTCCTAGTGTGCTCCAAAATTCAAACTCCCAGGCTGTCATTAATGTTCTCTCTGCAAAAGCTGTTGCCTTATTCTTTCAACATATAGAAAACCTTCTGGCCCATTAGGTTGTCCTCATCAGAAGACAAAGAGATGGACTCAGTGAGGCAAAATGTGGAAGCTTTTGGTGGGTGAATGTGGTGGGATTTGTGTACTGATTTATTTTGATGGAGTGTGTCAGCTCTGTGCATGGCAGACCCCTTGAGCTGGATCACTCTTTCACACCATTGTGTCCTGTAACCCTCATGTCCAGCAAGAAATCCAGCCTTGGATACAGGATTCAGTAGGCTGGGCAGGGTGTACATCTCATCACCAAGCAACATCTCCTCAGCACTGTTAAATTAGGGGTGTAAAAATATTACCTGATGGACCTGAGTTTCCTCTCTGTGAAGATTTAATATTACAATTTTCTGGCTGAGTTTTACAGTGTTTAGATTATGTCTGCACTCAACACTGGTGCAGAAGTCTGTGAAAAATGTAGAGCTTTTGGGAAGGAAAGAAATCCCTCTCCTCTCCAAAATCAGATGAAAGGCCAGTAACTGCAATTGTTAAATTTCTGAGAGGAGGTAGAGATGGGAAGAAACAGATCTGCCTAGGAAAGAAGGCACTGACATTATTTTGGGTGGCTCCAAGGACGTCCTAACTTCATGGGTTGGTTGATTCCCCACAGCGTGGTCTCCCTAGGGGGAGAGGGGTGCAGGGGAGGGGGGGGATCCGGCAGCATCCCCGACAGCAGGCAGACAGTTGCCTCGGGAGCTGGGCTGCCACCGAGCCTGGGGAGACGGGCAGGTGAGCTGTCAGGAGACTGACAAAGAGCCGCCGAAATCATCACGCTCCCCTGGTACACTTCCCTTTTGACACACTGGTATTCGCTGATGGAAATACAGTCAGTGGGGAAATTGCCAGCTCAGCCCCTGGCCACGGCAGCAGAGGAAGACCAGCTCTGTGCCAGAGGAGCTGGGCCGTTGTGGGGCCCTTGTTTTTCTAGAAAAGGTGAGATTGCCTGGGATTACACAGAAGGGGTGTTATTAAATGGCTTACACATACCTCTGTGGAGTTGTGACCAGAAAAAAAATAGTCTTGGTGAAAGCAGAGTTGCTCTGCTGCAAATTGGGAACAGCATAGTAAACCATAACTATGGATGTACATATATATAAGTCCAAGCTATGCATATTCAATAGCTCCTCTGGATCCTCAGTTATGAATAAAGACTTGAGAAATTAACTTGCTAAAAAACCCCAACAATCTAAGACCACACAATGAGCGATGTTCCCCTGGATTAGCAGCCTGTTCTGAGAGGAAGTGATTTTCATTGGCAAAGAATCTTTCTTTTTGACCTGTTAGTCTTTCTCTAATAAATCTATAACCCACTCAAACAATGTGGTGAAGAGAAAGGGGGTGAAAGAAGTGCTTCAGGAAAACAAAGGGACGGAGAGATGAATGCTCTATTCAAGGGTTGAGAGCAGTCTTCAGAAGTTATTATGAGAGCAAAACAGAAAGCGGGGAGGTGGGGGAGGAAAAGAAAAAACCTAGCCAAATTTCCCCTGCCTTTCTGCTCAAGGCTGGGCGACTTTTCATTTTTTTAAAATCACATGATGTAGTTATTGATCCTTCCCCAAATCACACTCTTAATTGCAGCTCATCGACAAATGAATATTTTAATGCATACATTTCCTGCTAATTATCACCTGGACCAGTCCTTAATTAGATTTCAACACTCATTTAATTAACCCTGATCCAAGAGACTGTTTGGTAACCTGAATCTAATGATTTAAACCTATTTGCAGCTGTATTGGATAGAGGCACTGGTCCACAGCAGATTGGGCTGTTCAGAGCTGCTGTTGTGGTTTGCAGAGCAAAGGCTGCAGCATGGTGGGCACAATGCAGCATGGAGAATTTTGAAACTGGATAAGGTGAATGAGTATTCATCTCTACAAATGGTTTTTGAAGATGTGACCTGCTCTATTTAGCAGGACAGAGAAGTGTAAATAAGTTGGTGTCTTCTTCCATCCCTCTTTCTTTCTGTCTCTGTTTGCCCTGGAAGTCTTAGGGCCAGAGAACTGCCTCAGGAAATTGCTGATGCCTCACACTGTTGAAAACCAAGCTATTATTGTAGATGGCATCACGAAAACAGGGGTAACCTCCACATGAAGTTGTTGCCCCTGGAGTGTTCTTCTTTCCTGATGTGAGTTGTAGTGACTGCACAGCAGCTGTTTGACCCAATGGGCTCTGAGACTGCCTCTTATGAGATGTTTTTCTAGGTTGCCTGTCACAGCAAGACTTCAGGCCTCTTTGAACATCACTATCATATACACAGGTCAGAAGGGCCATTGGCAAACAGAAGCAAGTTAGAGCACATGCTACAAAGAAAGAGGAGAAAAAAGAGGGGTTTTTAAGAGTGCTCTGCAATGAGATGTGCATGTAAGCAGTTAAAGGTACGTAACCAGCAGAGATGCTGCATTGCTCTTGAATATGAAGATTGACCTTGGGATTGATGGTTTCTCAATGTGGTTCCTCATGTGCAGCGCTTTCACATGACCCAAAGGAAATTAGGCAGTAAACTACATCAGATCACCCAGTGCAGGATTTTAGCAGAGGAGCCAAACAGTGCTGCTCATCTACAGCAGCACAAGACCGCTTTCTACTCCAGTGACTCCCACTAATCCACTGGATAAGACTAGACACTCCCCAGAAAGGGCCAGATTTTCCATGGGGTAAAAACTGCAGAGCCCTTCATCTGGACTATTTATTGCTTCCGCAAGCAGTTAAACCATGGTGTAAATCAGCCGTTGTCTGCTGACAAAGGCAATAGGTCCTGTCTGCTCGGTCATTTATTAGTAATACATAATCTGCTTCTTACTCTTGCTGGCTGTTGGACTGGACCTTGTATTTCTCCAGCCCCCAAGAGAGTTACAGTGGGTAAGTCAATAATGTTTGGAATGTAATTTGAGATGTCTGTGTTAATTCTGCATTTTACCAAGGGAAGGAGATGTTTATTTCTCTACCTTGCGGATCCGCAGTCAAAAGATACTATCATGAAAGAGAGCATTCCTGCTGGTGCCTCTGCAATAGGCTACTTGGAATTGGCATTTATCTCCTTTCCCATCAAATCAACCTCCTTTTTCAAGTGCTTTGATATCCACTGATGAAAAGAATAATATAAGGGCTAAGTATTATTATGCTTTCCTTATTCTCTCTTGGGCCAGCAAGTCTGCTTAATATGACTATCTTGTTTCCTGTCCCCCTCCTGTGTGTGGTAATGAATTGCTCCCCTTAGTCAGCAGAGTCAGATGCTCTCTAGGCTGGCGGGGCAAGGGAAAAGATGGAGGAAAAATCACCCTGTGCCACACTCACTTTGTAATCCCTAATCAGAGTCCTCTGTGGGAAAAACTAATTTCCCAGCCTGTCTTGACGTGTGAAATAAAGTCATTCTTGAAAATGGGAGCTTGACAGGTCACTTGTGAAATTTCATATTCAACTAAAAATAAAATATCCATTCATTGATATTTCATTTAAAGGCAAAGGAAAACAAATTTTTTGCCTGGTTGCCGGGACTGCTTCCCATTAGTTATGGCCTTCCAAATGGAGTGTATAGACAAATTAAGTAAAAGCTTTACAGAAGACCAAATAATACTGCATGGCATCAGGTAAAGCTGTTTCTCCCTAGAACAACATTAATAGGAAAAGTTTTGTAAAGATGTTTCCTTGCAGAATATATGCCTGAATTTTCTTTTCCCTTCAACCCCATATGTCTCAGCAGTGTACCAATCTCTACAGATGGCTAGACATCTTTTTCTTGAAAAACTGGTGAATTTGGACATAATTTTCTAAAGCCATTAAATCATGTTTCACTTTGAGCTTATTGAATGTCCCATTGGAGGTAAGCATACAGTTAAGTACTTTACTGCGAGGATGTTTCTCTCATACAGATGGGCTTCTGTATCTTGGTTGGCTCAAATGGACCCAGTCAGAAGTTCCGGGCCAAAAATATTTTTAAAAAGGCTTGTTACATTAAAGTTCCAGTGACTAATGCTCTTCACTATAAGAGATCTGAATGTGTGGATCCTGTTAAGTGCCTTCCAAAATGTCAGCCATGCACACCAGCCAAGATGTTTAAATGAATAGGTGCTGCTGGATACTTCTCATTTGGGCAATCAGACTACTTTCCTCAGTGTCACCATGTGAATGGGGTTGCTTCTGCTGGAAGCTTTGCCTTAGCACTCCCTTTGCAAATGCAATGCAGAGCTGGGAGGATGCTGATCTCCAGCAAACCATTCAGGGTAGTATTCCCACACAAGGATCCTTGAAATTAGCACCTGAACGCCAAAAGAGGATTTCTTTGCTTTTGGGGTCTGTCAGATCAGGCCATTTGGTATGATACCTCCTAAGTCTGAAAAAAACCCCAGGTTAGTTTTGTTTTGTTTTTTTTTTTAAATATCTCTGGTGCTCTACTGAAAATAGGGCTGCTGAATTGGCCAGTAGGGGTTTGATCCCTACTTGGGATTTTACACATGCAAGAAAGAAGCTACTATCCAATTAAAATGGTAGAGCAGAAGGAATTTTAGGTAGGTATAAATGTAATTATCCATGCTGGAAGATGGCCAGAAGATCAGGACTAACGTCCCCTACCCTCTTGCGAAATATGCTGTGTTTTTCTGTACTCGGGGCTTCAATTTCATGTCTCATCTGTAAGATGAGTAGGATGGCAGTCACTAGGAGCGATTTCCACTGTACA